CTTGCTTGCTCTATACTATCTTGTGTGTTGTGTTTTAAGCTAGGATAATTAATTTGTGCGACCACGACATCGCAACACATCTCAAAAGGTTGCCTAAACTCCTATTGATCACCTTGATTTATCTATCAGTTTGGGGGAGTTGAACATTAGAAAAATTCAACTTAACTCCTACCATGTACCAAAGGGTTTTCTAGAATAAGTCATAAATCTAACATCCCTATCTGAGATTATGGTTTTAAGAAGACCATGCAACTTGACAATCTCATCAAAATAAAGTTTTGCAACTCTAGAAACATCGATGGTCTTAGTACAAGGGATAAAATAGGGTCATCTTAGAGAAGTGATCAATAACTACAAAGATAGAATTATGCTTCTTTATAATATGTGGAAGCCCAAATGTAAAATTCATACTTACATCTTATCAAGGGCAAATGGGGATATATAACGGGATGTAAAAACTAGTGTTATGTTTTTTATGTTTAGCTAGTTAACATGTTCAAAATTAATTTACAAACTTAACTATATCTCTTTTTAAGTTAGACCAAAAGAACTAATGTATCATATTTTTAATTGTTTTATTTCTTACAAAGTGTCCTGAATGATCTTCAACATGAATCTTTTATATCAAAAAATCATGTATTGATGTCTTCATAATACAAAGCTTATTATCCTAAAATAAACACCTTTCTTGAAGGTAATAACAATCTACAGCATGGTTATTTTCATCTCTCAAAGTCATATTTCTCCAAATTCTAGACAACATTCTTACTCCTTTTTTAATCTCTCAAATCTAATAACTTCAACACTCATTACGAATAACAGTGTTACCCAGCAATTTAAGGCATTTGTCTTCTTATTTTTTATTCTAAATTTATGTTTCAATATAAATGAATAGACTTACAAATACCCAACCTAATAACCATACATATGATTGAGCTTTTTTTTTTTTGGAATTGAGATAGTGGAGAGCCTCATGGTCAAAGTAAAGAACAAATTCATATAGTAGTAAATAATGACACCAATGGTGCAAGGCTTGATCTATCATGTAAAATTCTTTATGATAGATTAAGTACTTTAGTTTGACATCGTTAAGTTTCTCATTAAAGTAAGCTATAGGGTGAAGTTCTTAATTAAGTACTCCACATATACCAACTCCCGAGATATTATATTCTACTTCAAACACCTTAATAAAGTCAGGAAGATACATTACTTGGGCCTCCATCATCTTCTTCTTAACTTGCTCAAATGCCTTATTAGCTCTTTTACTATATTGAAACTCTTTATTTCAAATAATTCATAAGAAGCAATATGATGGTTCTAAGTTCCTTAATGAAATGACGATACAAAATCACAAGCCCAAGAAAACTATGAGCCTTATGAATATTCTTAGACTCAAACCAATCTACAATCATTTGGATTTTTTTTGGATTAACAAAAACTTCCTCATGTGACATTATAAACCCCAATAAAATCGCTCAATCCGTAAAGAAAGAACACTTAAATAAGGTGATCTAAATGTTTTTCCATAGTTTTGTTATAAATAAATATATCATCAAAATACACCGCCAAGAATTTTTTCAATAAATAGCCTAAGCACCTATATCATTACTCTCATAAAAGTACTTAGCCAAAATGTATTAGTAGCCACTCATATAAGTCATTCTTAGTCTCAAATATAATTTTTCATTCATCTCTTGGACAAATTCTAAAATGATGATATTCGCTCCTCAATTCCTCGTCTTTCAACACTTTCCTTACCTTTTTAGGTGGTTTATTTGAATAATTTTCTACATTCTCTATGGCCACTAAAGCAAATGCAACATGCTTTTCATAAACCTTTTTATCAAATTTCTTATGATTTATTATGTTGGGCCCCCTCTTTTTCACTTTTTCCTTCTTCTTGCTACTATTATTAGGCTTTGGTAGTAATCTAGTAAGTTAAATCTTTTTACCATAAAAAACAAAATGAATATGAATTTGATCATTCAAAGATGGTAATGTCTAAATCATATAACCAAAGCCTATCTAAAATGATGTGTCCTGCATCCATAAAAATTACATCACACCAAATCTCATCATGATAATCCAAGATCTTTATAGGAAAAAAAACATATCTTCTTAATTATTATGGATGTATTGTTAACTCAAGGCATGTTATATGTTTTAGGATGCGAGATAAACTTTAAGCTTAAGCAATATGTTATCAGAGGAAATTGTATTGATATAACCCTCACTATTTATAATGATCTTGCAGGATTTATCTCCACATTTAATATAGGTGTAAAAGATAGCATTTCTCCTTCAATCCTCAATTCCTTTATGCTATGTTAAGGCATATCTAATTACACTTAACTTGGTTGTCTTCCATCCCATAAAATCTTTCTTGATCTGGCAAATATTGATCTAACACATCCTAGTAGTTTGAACTCATTCTCCTCAACATCTAGGTCTTGAAAATCATCACTCATATCCTCTTAATCCTTTATTAACAAATTATTGGGACAACTAGAGGAAACATGAATAAAACCTTTATACTTAAAAATTTAAGTCATTGAGGTTATCTTAGATGCTTAATAGAGAATACCCTTACCATTATTTTCCTAAGCATTTAAGCAATAGTAGGATTAGGTTTACAAGGTAAAGCACTCAATAAAGAACTATTATTACTAAGTTAGAACCTAGAAGGGATATGTAATAGCTCGACCTAACTTGCCATATATTGTCTGCTTTGGGCCTTAACGTCCTCACAGTTTTGTTCCTAGTGACGCGAGCCCACTTCTAAACCTGACGCTTCAAAACAAGTATGACAAGTCTGCAACCAGCACTCTTAATAAAGTTAGTTACCACTCTCTCACCTGCCAATATGGGATATTATAATCCACCTTGTCATATATTATCTGCTTTGGGCCTTACGACCCTCACGATTTTATTCCTAGTGACGCGAGTTCATGTTTTAATCTGACGCCCCAAAACATGTATAACAAGTTAGCAATTAGCACTTTTAATAAGATCAATTATCACTCCCTCACTCGCCGATGTGGGATATTATAGGATACTATAGGTTTCCTAACATCTTATACACTGACTTTTTATAACCAACTTGCAGTTTTGTATTAGGGTAAAAGCTTCATCAATGGTGGACACACTCTAAGCACAATCTCTCTTTTAAAGTCATCATTCAAACCTTTTTTGAAATCTACTTAGAGTCATTATCTTATCCTTCCTAACCATTCACCTCTTTCTATACTCATTAATTATGTCATATATTTATTAGTAGACTTATTTCCTTATCTAAAGTTATTCTACTGGTCTAAGAGATTTTTCCTATAAGAATGATATAGGTTTTTCTCTTGTAACTTAGTTTTCACCTCAACTCAATCAGTAATAAGAGATTGACCTCTCCTAACCAAAAACTTTTCTATACTTTTCTAATGAAGTTGAGCAATACCACTAAGTTTTATTTTTACAAACCTTACCTCCTATTCTTAGACAAATTATACTAATCAAATAATTGATTCATGTTATGAAACTAGCTATCAAAGATACATGAGTCAAGTTAAACCTCAAAAGTCAAGTCAAGGCTTCTATCTTGATATGTCTCATTACTCGATCATCAAGGTCATTGTAGTTGTGGTGATCTTGATTATGGTTATATTAGTGATTCCTAGGGTGAACTGGTCTTTAATGATGGTTTTTAGAATGCTTATTGTTAAGGTCATCAAAGTTATTGTGGCTTTAGTGGTAGTCATGTTGATAGTTTTTATGAGTTATTCTTCAATGATTGATCTATATTGAAGAACAATAATTTTTTTTAGTTGTAACCAAAAAGATTAAAGGGTTTTTTTATCAAGTCTATATCAATAGTTGATTATAATTCAACACAAGCCTTAAGAAATCAATTAATTTCTAAAAACATTACTAAAAGTTGGGTCCATGGTAATTGTTGAGTTCTAGATTGTTCATTAAATGACCACTCCGTCAATGCATGCGATACTAATCCTAAAACTATTATTGAAATCACAAATGACACTAGTAAGTAAAATGCAATATAAAATTAAAGCTGATGTTTAATTATTTGTTTATCTTAAAGGCCATATAGTTTATCTTGAAAAATAAGTAATAATATATTAAACCAGGGAAAATAACATGCAAGCAATGTTTGTCCTTTAAATACACACAAGTAGTCCAAACACAATATTCCAAATTTCCTTACAAATTTAGCCAAGCTCTCTAATTAATTAAAAGGGTAGAATATTCAAGATAAATGAATCAATAAGCCAAAAAGTTAAGATAGCTCAAATTGCAAGACATGTTATATATTTTTATAGTCAAGCATAAAAGAATATTATCAATTTTAATTCTTGTTCAACAAGTGTAAAATATACCAAGAATAATGATATTCAATGGTTAAAAAAAGTTTGTAGAGGCTTAATGACCAAATTATAATGAAAATATGTTAGAATTCACTACATATTATGCAACACTAACATGGTAAAGAATGATGACGTTAAGATGACATTGGATTGGTGAATTAAAATTCCGCTGCCTTCAGTGGATTATTTTCCTTCTGTAGAGTGTAATTATAAATGATGCAAATCTTCACAATCACTAGCTGGGTTGATCAATTCTTCAAAAGAAACACAGTGCGGATGTTCATGGCACCCTCACTTTAGGAGCTCACCACTGGATATTTGGAGAAGCATTCTCACGTGCTTTCTTCTTTGGTAGCAAGTTGACAGAGCAAGATGAGCTATGGTTACTTTTCTGTATAAAAGGCTTGGAAGTTTCAGCATTGACTGAAGGTCTTCGATGAAGTTGAAGACTTGCTTCAAGTACCGCATTGGGGGTTGACTTCCTTCCAAGTTTTGGTGATCGAGGTCGTGTCAGAGGGATCTGCAAAACATGAATGATCTGTAAAACTAAAAAAGTAATGCATCTAAGCCCAGATCTGCAAAACTTGTTCACCCCTGGCCCTATGACAAAGGAAAACCTTCTCATCCACGGAAGAAATACAGGCAGGATCGGATTTCCGTGATTAAACTTCTCAAGTACGCCAACGTAGGAAGTTATTTCCAATGACTGAACTTCTAGATTATACCTACTTAGCAAGTTCGATTTCAAATTTCATAGTATTAGGTTCTTCTAACTGTTAAGCTTATGCCATAACAGTTCTAAATTACAAATTACAGCAAAATTTAGCTGCTCGATGCACCTCCCATTGACCATGAAGTCAACTTTATCATATAGAGAAGTTGGGCAATAGATATAAGACGAACCTTCGTCATTGAATTGTATGGAGAATGTAATCCACGATGCAAGTCATCACTTGGTTTCCCTCTGAAGACAGCACTCTGTCTTAGTTTCTTAAGGTCATGCTCTGCCTTCTCCTGGGCAACATTAACGGGAAAGATAACTTTTTGAAATTGGCTTTATCAAGAAACAAGGATAAAATTGAAGTCCACAGTTGTAATCATAAAACAACTTTAAAAAAAAAATATTGCATGGATTTTATAACAAGTTTGTAAATTTCCAAAGGATTTTGACCTGCATTTCAAAAATACCAAACATTTTGGTTGGAATCATTGGGTACCAAAGGAAACTGATCATTTTAACATTGGTAATTCACATGCCACCGTACGAACACTACAATAAAGTTATGTGAGATGACCTTAGGTCTCGCAAGCAGATGCTTTTTTTCTGTGTCCACCTTTGCATTGTTTTTCTCTCCTAGCTTCTGAAAGAACTAGAACAGCCAGTAAAACGAGATATCAAAACCATGACATTATTGCAAGCAAGGAATTAATAGAAAAACTACAGAGATTAATCTTGCCTCTTTTCGTTTTGCCACTCTTTCTTCACTTCTAAAGCTAAACGGAGAGGATATAAGTGGAGGTCGTGATTTGCTTCCTTTTGCACTTGATGATTTCGAGCAGCTGTAGTTCTATAAGTTTAAAATAATGTTGAACATAGGAAAAATGGTGCTTCTCTGTTCTAGTTACTAATTATTCATTCTCCACGTGGAATGAGCAATCAAGATGAAGAATGCAAGACTGCCACAAACTTAAATTTAATTTTATGTTTTTCAGCTATGGACATAAATTATCAATGATGCATTCAGTGTGTTATACTCTCTAGTTCAGTAGAAGCAAACATGACTGTGGCATGAGTAACATGGTACAGACAAAAAAGAACCATTCAGGAAACCCAGGAGCAAAGTCCATACTCTGAAGAGAGGGTCTGTGATATTTCACCAGGTGTAATTTTTCCTGAAACTGACTTGTTGAGCTCTGACTTACTTCTGCGAGGATAAACTGTGTCAATTATAACAATTAGAAAGGGCCAGCTGCTTGTGTTTGTAGAGACAAAATACCTTCTATCTTGTGAATGCTGAAATATTAAAGGAAGAAGCTTTGATACACCATGAACAGATCCCTGCAGTTTAGACATAATTCATCTTGGTGGGTTACAAGATTCTTACTGGTGTGAGTAATAATTGAAGTGTGTGCACGCATGAGTGTCTATACTGCATAAAATGATTAGCATCAAATGATCATGGTATGAGGAATGGAGATACCCTGGTTGGATTTTCTGGAGTAGCGGACCTGTCTTTAGATAATCTGACAGAACTTTTGTTGGTGTCTTGCAAGCGAGAAGCAAAATTGATTGACACATGGATAGATTTTGAAGTTGCTCTCTTTTCACCCACCAATTCTCCAGCAAACTTCTTACTGTTTGGAGTAGCATTTAGTCTTGTGGAACTTGACAGTTTGGCAGAAGACTTAGGAAGTTTCGATGCTCTACTCTGACTCAATTTGTTTGATAAAGAACTCATTTGCCTTTTATTTTTTGGTAAAGCTACATTCTCCATTTCAGCGGCTTCCTGATTGGGATGGTTGTTTACCTTATTGGGCATCTTCTCTTCTGGCATGGCCACAATAATGTCACAGTCATCAGCATTTTCAATCTGCTTTGAATTTGCCACGTGAATAGAGTTTTCCACCTCAACATTCTTTTCTCCTGTCACTTCAAATCCTTCCACCTTTGCATTTTCTGAATTATCCATTTGACCATCAGCATAAAATGCATTTGCTTCAGAAGAATGAACTAGGCCAGCATCAAAAATCCCCTCATCTTGTCCATTGATGATCACTTCATTGATTGCTTTAGAAAACTCCAAATTAACATGAGAACTGCTGGGAGCCTTGTCTGCAGCTTCTACTTCAGGAACATCGTTAGATGCAGCGTTTGCTTGCTCAAGCAAGGCTGCTGCTTTCATGGCTGCCCTCTTCTTGTAATAAGCCTCGAAATATGCCTTCTTCTGAGCAACAGAACCTGGCTTGGAAAACTGCTCAACTTCTTCTAAGAACCGATTGTGACTAAAGGTTGACCACTTCTCCCAAGCCAAAGATTCTGACATAAATCTCCCGAACGAGATTGATTCAGTCAGGGCTAGAATGGGATTGCCCTGGAACTCAAAAATATTTTACATGTTTGCTCAGTGATTTCTTTGATGCAACTCATTATTATCTATTTCAAACCAATGATATCCATAAAACAATTAACACAAAATGCAAAGAAACTTCAGAGACTCGGTGTCTTCTTTATCAACTGAAACAAAAAAGAGCCATAATCTTGATGGATGCCAGATATATTAAAAAAGCCAACCATACTAAAGTCCAAAAGAAGTTTCAACAATGGAAAGAAAAAAGGCAATCATCAACACGAAAATGCCCGAAAAATGAGATTTAACGAAAGCCAATCAAGGCTGCATTTAATCAAATATATGCAATTCTCCGGAAAATATTAGCAGTTACGGAAAATAAACGGAGAGCTTTAATCACTTCCGTTTCAAGTGTTCAAAGCATTGAACAAAATCAAGAACAACAGTAATTAATTCAATAAAAACGAGTAAATCCTCAAGCATTATGGTCTGTTTGATAACCCAAAAAGCTAAAGGAAAATGAGCAACAGAATCTCACAACAGCCATTTTTCCATTTCACCAAAAACCCCAGTAGTCATAATTTTTTTCAAGATGTCTCAATATCAGAGGCAAAATCACAAAAATTGAAGCAAAACCCACAAAATATTACTAAAAACAACACCAAAAAAGGAAAACCATTCCTTCAAACCCCAGAGCATGATAAGACAAGACATGAAAAAAATAATAAAGCAATAATGCTTGAAGGACTAACCTCTTTGGCTTCTCTGGAAGCACTAGATGGATGAGAAAAGGACCTCATAAGACAAGCTGATTCTCCCATTTTTTTTTTATCTATCTATACACAGAAAGCGAATCCCACAAACAAAAATGCTCTCTTTTTAATTCAAAACCCTTTTCGCTACCGACAGCAGGTACGTAGAGCTTATCTTAGTTTTAGTTTAGTTTATGGCAGAGTCAATCACTGGTCTCCCTTTAAATTATGAAAATCAGGGTGTAGGCTCAAATGGGTCCATCTCATTTCATGTCTTGCAGGCAACAAAGGCAAGAAGAGAGCGTAAGAGGCAACTCAGTTCTTCTGCAGAGAAAGGGAACCTTCTTCCTCTGTCAGCGAGTGAGTGAAGAGACCGTTGTTGTTGGGTTGCCTTTCTTTCACTTATACTTTTAACAAAGAAAAGACTGAATCTTTATATTTTGATTGATGGATATATTTCTTCGGGACCTACCTGAACAAAGCTCCTAACGTCTAGTTTCACTTGTAAAAAAGCAATCATGTGAGAGGAGGGGATGGTGACAGATAAAGAGAATCTGATGGATTTTACTTATGTTCAGTGTGGTTTCGTCCATTAATTTGAATTTGAAGGGAAGAGAAAGGTCGAGGGGGACAGACAGAGAAATTATTAAAAATATTAAAATAATATTTTTTTATTTTTTAAAAATATTTTTTATAAATCATATCAAAATCTTTCAAAAACATAGAAAAAAAAATTAATTGTTAAAATTGAGATTAGATTTTTTTTTGTTAAAATTTGATTTTTTTTTAATTATTTTTTAATATTTTTAAATCATTTTTATATGCTAATATCAAAAAGAAATTTTAAAAAATAAAAAAAATATTATTTTAATATATTTCCAAACAAAAAATATTTTAAAAACCAACCTCTATCATATTCTCAAACACCTTATTAGAACTCATTTGGTATTATACTAATAGTTGCTTTTCAAAATATTTTTTTCTTTGAAGATGATTGAAATAATGCTTTTTTTTTAATATTAGCATATCAAAACAATATGAAAACACTGTAAAATATTAATTCAAAATAAAAAAATAAATTTTTTTTCAAAAGCATTTTTAAAATACAAAAACAACTCATTGTCAACAATTTTTTTCTACAATTAGGTAGTGTTTGTAATTATGATAACTATTATTTTTTAAAATATTTTTTTACTTGGAAATATATTAAAATAATATTTTTATATATTTTAAAATTTATTTTTAACATTAGCTTATCAAAATAATACAAAATTATAAAAAAATTCAAAATAAAAAATTCAAAATTTTTCAAAAATAATTTTAGAAGGTAAAAACTTATTATACTCTTTTAAGGCTATATTAAAGGACCATGTTTAACGAATAAATAAGCTTTCATATATTTATTGGTCAATAAAATGTTAATATATGATATGATATATTGAAAATATCTTGTCATAAATACAAGATGTTATCGATCAAAATCAACTAATAAAATAATATCACATGGCATTAAAAAAAAAACTTGAAAACCCTACAAATCTCTATAAATAGAGGGTCTCACCTTAGACAAAAAAAAAAAGAATTCTCAGAGATACAAAAACAATTTCAAGATAAACACTTCAAGCAAGAAAACTCTTTCAAAACCTCTCAGGCCTCCTTCATCTACTATTGAAGTCTACAAAGAATAAAACTCTATTGGGTTAAGCATAAACGTCCTATAAAAGTTCTTCAACAACATTTTGAAGATAAATAAAATATACCATCAAATCACCAAATCTTGCTTTGCAATACACGCTCAAATTTACATTCTTGCAAAGCACAAAGGTTGGCTTGATTTCACAAATAAATCAAGTCATCACATATCAAATCCAAAAGAGAAATCAAATGTTTGTTTATTCTTTTTGTAAGAAATTTTTTATATAAGGATTATACCTAGTCATATATTTTAATAAAATCAAATATTTGTAAACGTGTGCTTATCTAATTTTAAATACTCAAAATTGTGTTCATAATTTTCTAATGACTCCATTGGGGAATCTTTACCTCACATCTCTTCCCTTTTAGAAAGAATTTTCAACAACCTCTTGATGATAACTAGAAAGAATATAATCATTATTGTCGCTTTCAAAAGCAATAAGGGTACTAATTCAAGTTGCCGACGTGCCATTAAAGATTCTTCAACCTCGCCATTGAAAAGAAGAACCATCACCAAGTTGTATGCATAAACTAAGTCGATTCTTAAGCTAATGTCAACATCAAATTCAAAAAAAGTACGAGAGCTCACTTTAAAAATAAAGTTACAGGTAACTCCACCATAAAAATCAAGTAGGGCACATGGACTTCTCTTCGACACTCAATATGACTACTTCAACAATTCTCCTATAAAGACCTCTTCATATCGATCACCAAGTAAAGATTTAGGTTTTGGCACCATGTTAATGATGATGACTGGATTACATCTTTAAAGGATCAAGTGACTAACTTGACAGAACTCATTAAGAGGCTTTCAACTTCACTCGAGGAAAAAGACTAATAGATAACGAAGCTACTAAACAAACTTGAGAGCATGAATGAGCGAGGTGAATTTTTGGTTACCAAGGCTTTACAAATGGATCAAATAGATGTCATTGAGGATTCTATAATCGAAGCTATAAGGAATATCCATGATATTATCGATGGCTTCTTCATTATGAATAAACTAAAAGAACTTATCAAGGAAGTCATCACAGACCAAGTAGAAAGATCAATTTAACCTTTATATTTTTATGTAAAGTTTGACACGTAAAAACTCCACATGCTAAAAATATCTTTGAACTATCAACCATTAAAGTTTTGACAATTCAATGACAAAGAGAATCCTAGGCAACATATAACTCATTTTATGGAGACTTGCAATATGTCAAAACTGATGGTGATCTCATGGTAAAACAATTTACTCATTCTTGAAAGATAATATCTTTGACAGGTACATTAACTTGAAGTCTGGTTTAATTGATAATTGAGAGAAATTGAAACATGATTTTCTTAACAGCTTCTACAATGCTTGTCGTGTGGCTATCATGATTAAACTCACCAATACATGTCAATAGAAACAGTAGTTTGCCATCAACTATATTCATCGGTGGAGAAACCTTAGCCTCAACTTTAGAGATTGGATTAACAAGACTTCTATGCTAGGTATATGTATTTAAAGGATGCATTCGGGACTAAACTATATATTACAAGGCATTAAAACAAAATCTTTTAAAGAATTAGCTACTCAAGTGCACGATATAAAACTTAGCATTGCTATAACTAAAAACTTATCATTGCCTAAGTAAAAGCCCAAGAGAAATAAGCATAAAGGTCATAAATTCAGAAAGAGTACTCCAAAGATTGAGGGAAAACAATATTTTATAATTAATTATACTTCTGTAAAGGTATCAACCAAAGTAAAACAAAATGATCGTATAACACTGATTACTTTTTAAAAAGGTAAAATAAAGAAGTTAACTTTAAAAAGGCAATAATAAAAAAAGTATCCATTCCCTAATTCAGACATATCAAGAATGCTAGATGATTTGCTCGAAACAAATCTTATCGAGCTACTAGAGTTGAAATGGTTTAAAAAAGCAAACCAAATGGACAATCTAAATTATTACAATATCATCGCTTGATCAACCATTCCGTAAAGAAGTGTCTTATCTTAAAAGACAAGATCATAAGGCTACATGAGAGTGTGAATATTGTTTTTTATGATAAAATAACATCTTCTAATATCACAACTATTGAAAATTTAGGTTCATATCAATTACTCTTAGTAATAAGTTTCAACTTTTTTGAACTTATGATACTTGATGTTCTTTTGCTTACAAGTTTCACCACATCCTTGAGTCAAGCCTCATGTATAACCATTATATAAAAAATTAGTAATGTGAATCCTAGCTCATCTAAGAATTGCAATAGTGAAGGACAAAATTTAGTCACTTGTAATAAAGGAAGAAAAAAGCACACACGTGTGAAATACTACTTTGGTTAATTTCATAAGTATTACTTTAATATTTTTAAAATAAAATACTTTTTAAAACTCATCCAAAACAAAATCTACACATTCCTAAACACTCATATAATTTAGAATGGAGAATCACTTGTAGAAAAAAGGATCATTCCTTCTAAAAAACACGAGGTATAAGAAATTCTTCACTAAGTAAATGTTTCTATTTTCTTTCACTCATTCCCTTCTTATTCAATCAACAAAATAAAATATATAAAAACTCTAAAACACATTAACAATAAACTATAAGAGCTCACCAATTCATTGTTTCAATTATTATAACTACTCATCCTTGTATTTTTTTTCATATTTTTTTTTAATCCTCATGTACTAATTTGCAATAACACCTTGTATTTTTTTTCATATTTTTTTTTTAATCCTCATGTACTAATTTGTTTCATGATTGCCTAAGTATTTTGTTTTTTGTTTGCTTGTCAGGGTCTTTTTATTTAGTAAAAAAAAAATCTTTTCGTTGGTTTTGCACTCAATCTTGCAAAAAAACTATTTTGATATTTTGTATTCTAAGAGATTAAATCTAGAAGGATTGTAATTGACAATTAGGGGAAAAAAAAAGTAGCCCTTAAACAAAAAAAAAACATGAAATTCAGTTGTGGAATTCAAAGATAGAGAGAGAGAAAAATAATCATTGATGCTATGTAATTAAGAGGTAGCCACCACGTGATACCTTAGATGAAAGATCCTATCAAGATGAGTTCAAAAACAACAATGAAGACCGCCTTTAAATGTTGGAAGAAGCCAAATACACCATCCTAATATGACAGTTTTCTTATATGTTAGCACTTGTATTGCACATGCTATATTTTTTTTACCCTTTTTGTTCATTCAATCTCATATTTTATATCAACTTTTCAATTGAATCTTATTATACTCGAGCCCAAATCCTCTTCTTTTAATGTAGTCCTTGTTTCTTGAATAACTTTTTAATTTAGTGTTGAATTTGATCCGACTCTTTAGTCTAAAAGAGGCTTAATTAAAAAAAAATAAAGAAATAAGAAGAAAAGAAATATTCACCCCATCAAGTTAGCTCACTATAATTGTGTTCAATTTAAGTCATGAATCTAATAATTAATTCCGGTTGATAGGGTGTGATTTATTATCTTAATATGATTTTTTTAAAACTAACTCATATTTTTACTAATTAATTAGTTTTTTTTTACTTGTTAAATTAATGGTGTCACGCTAATTTCTTTTTTTTTTTGAAAAAACTTGTAGGGACATTATTAAGACCTGAATCCAAACCTTTAGCGTTCTCGAGCAACAAAACTAATCAAAGCTGATAGTCTTAAAGATAATAGTATTCAAAGCAAGAAATTTTAGAAATTTTCCCACATAAATTGAAAAAAACTTAGACTCATGGATTGCATCATCAAATTGGGTTATAAGAGATATATTTGGTTATCAATTTTTGTTTACCTCTTATATTTTTTTATGGTTTTTCCAAGTATTTATTATTAAAAATAAAGGTAATTTAGCTTAGATCTAACCAGAAATTTTCCCATATAAACCATTGTCTTGAGACTATATTAAGGCAATAAATTACTTACAATAATATTTTTTATTTGTTTGTTTTGATAGAAAAATTGTGTACCTTGTAATTTAATAACTCTTTAGATTATTAAATTTCAAGTAATAAATTATGCGAGTAGCTCAGGTAATTCATCTTGGTTTAAGTTTTCTTTAAAAAATTAAAATAATATTATTTTAAATTTTATTTAAAAATAAATAAATTTTAACCGAGCTAATTAAATTGCTCAAGTTTTATCAAGTAAACCATCTAATTTTTTTAAAACCCTACCAGAACAAGTTCCCAGGCCAAGCTACACAAATTGAGCCAGATTTAATATCACTACATTCTTTTATGTCATATCTTAATAATATAAAACACTTAATAGTAGTATTATTTAGAGTCCTCCATTTTATCTCATTTTTTTTATATAGTTTAAGAAACTAATTTTGAATAGGTATTTCGAGATCCATAGCGTTACTCAAAATCAAAAGTCCATTTAGAGCACCAAAATTATAAAAAGGCTTGTTTTTATAAAAACTAAAATAAAATTGTAAAAGGCATGATGCATAGTCAACTAACTAATTAAATAAATAAATATTGTTAGAAAAACAAGTTGATTCTTAAAATTTTATGATTTCATTAGTTAACATGTAGTTCATGTATCAAATTAAATTAAAATTTTAAAGTTAGAAAACTCAATCAAACTCAATTAACCTTATTTAAATTTGATAAAATCAATAAAATCAAATTAATTTTATAAGTTTGAAAACAATTATTAAATTATGCATTCTGATAACTTGTATCTTAATATTTTCATTGTTTCAAATTTATATTTTACAAAAATTATACAATTTAATAATCAAGGGCTTGATTTTAACTATAATTATTATAATTTTTTTAACGATACAAATTATTTATAGATTTTATTTTTGTATAATTAAAATACCAATTCATTCTTCATAATTTTTTATGTAAATTATTAACATCTCAACTGATATATTATTTTATTTTAACTAGTAAATATATAGAATAAAAATTGTAAATTAGTATGCTTAATCCTTAAAGTAACTAATATTAAATGATTTATTAAAATTTAAAAGAATTTTTTTTATAAATAATAAAGTAAATCTAAAAAGTAGAAAAATTAATGTGAATAAAATAAAAGTGTTTCAAATTTTTTATTGTTTATTTTATTATTTATTTTAATTATAGGAAAGTATGAATTACATTGATTGAGTTTAGTAATATATAATTAATTAAAATATTTTATTTACAATTTTACTATTCAAATTTGCTATTAAATTTTAAATTTATATTATATATTTCATGTCATGTCATGTCAAAAAATTTATGATAAACATCTATCTTGGATGGGATCCCATAAATTTCGTTAGCACAAGGTTTTGGTTCCCTTCTTTTGTTTTTTGTCAAACGTTTGAAACATATCTTGCGATACAGTTATTAAAGGAGCAAGCCATTAACGGAACCAATAAATTAAAAGTAAATTTTAATTTATGCTCCTCTTCTTAAGAGATTAGTTTGTAGCAATCAATTCCCACAACTTTCATCATAGTTTCGATCATATCTATCTGTTTATTTACATCCATTTTCAGAGGTGAGAAGAATGAAAAACGCATGAAAATCTGAATTTCATCTTCAAGATTCATAGCAGAAGTTGTTCTACCAACTGTTCTTTCAATTTACAATTTTCATCCACAAAACTGAAAACATAAGCTGACACCAGAGGAAAGAAGAAGGACAAGCGAGGAGCCAATTTCTAAGCAATCACTGAACATTGATATCATGAATCTTGGCAGTGGCACTAGCTTTGGGTATGGTTATATACAAAACCCCATCTTTAACTTCAGCAGTGATCTTCTCAAATTGAATATTCTCTGGCAGCGCAATTCTACTGCTATACCTGCCATAACTCTTTGCAGACCACTCTCCCTCCTCTTCTTCTCCATTCTCTACGCCATCCACCGTCTTCTTGGGCACCTTTTCAGCCTTAACAACGAGCATCTTCTCCTCAACCCAAACTTTCACATCTTCTTTAGTCATTCCTGGCATATCAAACCTCATTTTGTAGACATCTTCACCCTCTTTTATCTCCCATGGTGTCCTTCCTCTGCTGTACCCACTCCCCTCTACAGGTAATGGTGATGGCCACCCACCTGAGTAGACAAATGGGTCCTCCATCACCCTCTCCATTGTCTCCATCATCTGCTGCACTGTTCTTGCAGTAGGAAACCTGTCCCATAACCCTGCCAAGAAAGAAACCAACAAATTCAGTGAGCGTCTCAAGGTTTCTTACCTTCTAGTTTGAATATTGCATGAGATGTAGTTATTGATTGATTACCTATTGGTGCAGCAGGGGCCACTCTTTTCTTGTTTTGAGATTGTTGAGGGTTCTTCCTGGCTCTCTGCAAGTGGTCAAGATTCTCTCTGCTCTCTGCTGCCATGGCCTTAATGTAGTTGTTGCTCTTGTGGTTGTGGTTGTAGCTAAATGCTATGCCATGAAGGTTTCTTGAAGAAGCACCCTTCATTGATGGCAGAGGAAGAGAGAGGCTTAAATTTGACAGTGCGTGAGACATTCTGATCTTTGTTCAAGAAATATAGCAATTGATCAGCGGTGATTTCCAATTGGCCGTCGATGTCAAGCAATCAAGATGGGTATAAAACTGAAACTTGCTAAGAATTTATCGGGAGAGGATGATGGAGTGATACTTAAAGGAAAGAGTAGAAATTTCTGGAGAACGTTATGTGATAAGGAGGCATGGGAATGGGAGCAGCAGGGATTTTGGTACTCTTCTGGAGTTCTCCAGAAAGTTTTCTTCTTTTTTGGCTGAGATCATGACTGGGCCTAAGATGAACGAAGTGACATCCTAACCCTTCCCTTTGCCCGATGTCTGCCCCAACAATTCTTTATTTTAAATTGATTATTTAAGGAATAATGTTTTATTACAGTGAATTTATACAACATTTTATCTGGGTATTTCAGTATATTTTGAAATTGTAATCCTGACATGAGGATGGATAATTTTCAACTGAAAAATCTCTGCTATGGCCTTAAATCTCCCCATTTTGCTTGTTCATTCTCCGCGAGAGAACTGCAATTTTTAACAGTTAAGTGAGTTCATATAAATGTATATTTTTTTCCTTCAGTCGAATCAAGTACTGATGTTTTTGGGTCATCGCCTGGCAGTAGCTTTGTTGGACTGTGGGCTATGGAGCTGTATTAGCTTGAGACAGATACGGGCTGGTTTCTTGAAAAAAGAAAAGAAAAAGAAATTGTGCGCAGATAATCAAGCACATGAAGGATTTGATTCTTTGGATTTAATGGCATCAGTTCACCATTAAGATTATCCGGTAAAAAAGAAGAAAGAATAAATGGAGAGATGCGGTGGAGATGGTAACTCACAGTAGAAAAGGATGGGGAGATGACTTTTTTTTTTGTCTACTTTTCTGTCATGCTTTTTGAAAATACTTCAATTGTTCGAGGTTTCATGATTTTTTAATTATTATTTTAAATATAATGATTATCTTATAAATAAATAAATATTTTTTATTTATATTTTTAGTGTTAATTTAAAAAAATATAGAGTGTTATCCACCTTTAAATTTTGGATTTATTTGAAATTATGATGGCAATGATAATTTAAAGTGTTGTTCATTTAAAAATATATTAAAATAAATTTTTTTAATATCAGCACATTAAAATAATCTAAAAATATAACTTTTTATTTTAAATAAAAAAATTATAATTTTTTAAAAATATGGTTTACACTACATTTCAAAACACAACTTTCAATTATAAGACATAATATTTAAAACTTTAGTTGCAAAAAAAAAAAAAAATCAAACCATAAAATACTGTACTAATTTAAAAAAAAACATTAGATGAAAAACTATTTTCTAAATTTTCATGTATTTGCTTGTCATTAGAAAAGTTGATCAACGAAAAAATACTTTACAGTCAAAGGGAAATTTGACTTGATTTCCTGAAAAATTTAGGAGAAAAACACTACCAAACACTGAAAAGTATTTTCCAACTTATTTTTCATTAAACTACTAAATATAAAAAAATAATTCATTTTTCTGAAATTTACTTAAAAAAAATTACTTTCTAACAAACAAACGAAGCCGAAGTATGTTATTGAACTCACAAAAATTCTAAAAGGGTCATACCTATTTACCACCTGCATCATCATTAAATACATCAACAACTGGTGATCAACTCCTAACTTAATATTACTTGACCTATTTATTAATATGTATTTAGTATTATGAATTCAAATTTGATCCTCTTTTTTTATTGTTATTTATTTTATTTGAATTGATTGTTAATTATTTTATTTGAAATAATTTATAAAATGTTAACTATTATTATTTTAATTTCTTCATCTTTTATTTTTTTTAATTTTTTAGATTTGATCTCTATTATCTTGATTATTATTTATTTTATTTGAGATAATTTATGAAATTATATATATATTTTTAAATTTCATTCTCATTTATCATTTTAATTTGTAAGATTTGTTTCTCATTATTTTAATAAACTTGAGAAAAATAAAATATTAATAAGTTATTTTTCAGCTCATTTTCCATGACATAACCAAACACTGAAAAGTATTTTCCAACTTATTTTTCATTAAACTACTAAATATAAAAAAATAATTCATTTTTTTGAAATTTACTTAAAAAAAATTACTTTCTAACAAACAAACGAAGCCGAAATATGTTATTGAACTCACAAAAATTCTAGAAGGATCATACCTATTTACCACCTGCATCATCATCAAATACATCAACAACTGGTGATCAACTCTTGACTTAATATTACTTGACTTATTTATTAATATGTATTTAGTATTATGATTACAGTTACATTTCAAAATATTTTTTATCTAAAAATATATTAAAAATTATTTTTTATTTTTTAAGGTTTAGAAATAATCTAAAAACACAAACAAATATTAATTTGAAGCAAAGAATTTTTTTAAAAAAAAAAACACTTTTGAAACACAAAAATAAATAAATAGAATTTTACATTTTATATGGTTAAATCAAATTTTTTATAATATATATATCAAAATTTAATGAGGATATTTTTTTTGTTGATAGTGTTATTAAATACAGATATATAAGTCAATATTAAAACTTTTTTATTTTTATATTTTATTTAATTTAATTTTTTAATTAAATTATGGGTTTTCTTAAAACTTTTTTATTTTTTTATTTAATTTTTTAATTAAATTATGGGTTTGATTCAATTTAAATTAATTAATTTTATAAATTTAAAAATAATCTGATTAATTAATAAAAATATAATTTATTTTAAAAAAATTAAAATAATAATTTTAAAAAAATATATCAAAAGATTCAGTCTCCTCACCACCCGTATTATGAATTTTATTGGATTAAATAACACTTTTATAATCTATTTTTATCAACTCCGGTCCCACCGCTCTCAATCATCCCGTTTGCGAATCCGTATCACTGCTTTGTCGTTTAATGCGTCATTAAACGGGCAATAGAAAAGTGTGTTCCCGTACTGTTTCTGCTAACATTAATGGCTACCGCAGTCACTGCAAAGCAATTACTAAATTTAATATTACATTTCTTCTTATTAATGAGTTCACCTTATAATTTATATATATAAAAAAACCCTAAATAAATCTCGCAATCACTAGAATCATCAACGCTTGCAGCGTGCTCTAAATTTGTCTCCTGTTTGGTTGTTGTTTATTTTTTTATTTTGTATTACTTTTTTTATTTATAAATTATTTTGATTTCTGGTATTAAAAATATTTTTTTAAATATAAAAAAATATTTGTATTACTTTTTTTTATTTATAAATTATTTTGATTTGCTGGTATTAAAAATATTTTTTTAAATATAAAAAAATATTATTTTTATATTTTTTAAATAAAAAATACTATAAAAATTAATTATAATTATGAATATACTTCAAATTAATTTTATTTTTTTAAAGAAGACGCATCTTAAACATGTTTTCTGGATGATTACATGTTTAAAAATTTAAAAATTATTATTTTAAAAAAATAAAATTAATTAGTAGTTTAAAATAATATAAATTTATTTAAATTTAAATTTTAAAAAACTTTTATTTAACAAAGTTTTTTCAAAAAATAATATAAATCACGTTTTACTACCTCACTCATATAATAAAGTCATATAATAATATAAATCATAATCCCCGTCAAAACCATAACAAAAAAACAATTAGGTTTAATCCTATCTATTACCCATTTTAAATTAATTAGGTTTAATCCTATCTATTACCCAAACTTTAGATTGATTTAATAACTTCGATTCAAAGCTTTGTTTCAACGATTTTTTTTTTAATATATTAAAATAATATTTTTTTAAAGTTTATTTTTAGTATCAACAATCTAAAATTAAAATAAAAAATTAATTTTAAAAATATTAGTTTATTTTAAAAACATTTTTCAACCACATAAACTAACAGAAGGATTACGCTGTGCCAAGCTAATCCGGTGAAGTTTTTCGCAAGTGGAGAAGATGTGGAATCGCGTCGCTTCTCATCACATATGCAGATTTTTCGATTGAACAACGATTGATGTGTGTGTCTCACTCATCTTCCTTCATTCAATTACTATAAAATACTTAAAATTTCCAGATATTTCCATTTCTCTCTCTCTCTCTGTCAACTGCAACAACAGCGACAACAAAAACAAGGCCACCACTTTTCGCTGTTGCTTGCTCTTCCTTTCCAGTACTGTTGCTAGGGAAATCTCACAAGATAGACAGAGACCTACTTTTGCTTAGCTTTAACTTGGTTCTACTGATCGAAGTCTATTTCCTCTCTTTGTGCCTGGATTCCAAAATCCTAACAAAAATCCCACATGGGATTGGGGCTAATTGGCAAAGCAAGGTCGACACAGGAGAACATTTTCAAGTCTCAGCAATCAGTATGGAATCGCAGCTGGGTCTAATTGAGAAATCCTTCAACACCAGATACTCTCCCTGGGTCCGAGAAGCTCTCGAGGAATTGCCCCACAATTTCACCATTACTGACCCCACCATTTCGGGTCACCCTATCGTGTTTGCAAGCCCTGGGTTCCTGAAAATGTCGGGTTTTCGGAGAGACCAAGTGATAGGGAACAACGGCAGGATGTTTCAAGGTCCCAAGACGAATAGAAAAACAGTTATGGAAATCCGGGAGGCAATTCGAGAGGAGAGAGCGGTGCAGGTCAGTTTATGGAATTATCGTAAAGATGGGACGCCCTTTTGGATGTTGTTTCAGATGAGCCCTGTTTTTAGCAAGGAGGATGGCAGGGTCATTCATTTCATTGGGGTTCAGGTGCCTATATTGAGAAACAAAAGATCAACCGATGATGGGGCCGATGCTGCTTGGAACGAGATTGTTTTTGGTTCCTGCAGGAGAGAGGTTTGCTCCGACTCTTTGGTGGAACTGGGACGTGTTGTGGCTTTGGATGCCTATACCAAGTGTAGAGGTTTGTTTTTGTGCAGTTGTTTTACTTTGTCATATCATTGTATAGCTTCATCATCAAACTTTTTGGGTGCACATTTCAGTTTTTTAAGATGATTTTCCTCTGTTTTGGACTTTTAGTCTTGCTTCTTTAACTTGCAAAGTCAGGCTTTGCACTGCTTGGGCACTATAATGTCTTTAGCTTTGTCCATTTTGATTAACAATCATCGTCCTTGTTTGTTTACACCACAATTTTCTTGTTCAGGTTTCGTAGGTTCCTGATTTGGTCTAATCCGGACTCTTCTCACTAGTAACTTCTGGTTCTGGCTTGGCTAACATTTTATTAGTCTCGATTTATAGGAGTAGAGACTGAAGAGCCATGTGAGGCAAATGACCTAGAGAAGCAAAGTGCTGCAACTGCCATTAACAGCATCTTGTCCGTGCTGACCCTCTACAGTGAGCCTACTGGCAGACTGGTGTGTGGGAAAAGATGTAGCTCACCTGCGGCAGGACACATTAATTCATCTTTAAATATAGCTCTTGGTAGAATCAATCAAAGTTTTGTATTGTGAGTTGTTGCAAATTCCTAATTTTTATTTACGAGCAGAAAATGTCTTAATGGATACTGCTAACCTCTTTGCTTTGTGTTTCTTGCAACATATATCTGCTTCCTTTTCAGGATAGATCCACACCTGCCTAGCATGCCTATAGTTTACGCAAGTGATGCCTTCTTAAAACTGACAGGTTCTTAAATTTTATGAATCCATATTCATCACACACAACCCCATATTTTAATTTCATTCATTTACCTAGATCGATCATACCATTTAGTTTGTTAATATCTGAACAACACAGGTCAGTCAGCTACTTATATCGCCTCTTTACTTCTATAGGTTATGATAGACATGAAGTGTTAGGGTGCAATTGGAGATTTCTAAGTGGAGTTGGTACAGATTCCTCGGTTTTGAATCAGGTACAAACTTTTTCCATATGCTTGATGACATGGAATAGAGGTTCTTAATACGAGCTTGGCAACAGAGAAGGGTTAGAGAAATGTATGTGTACATTAGCAATGACAATGGTACAAAGCATGTGCTCGGGTTTATATAACCCAGGATATGAAACATACAAGGAAAGAAAATAATCCTAAATAATTATATATATACATGGGTGCCAGTTGAGCTATAATCTCATTGGCCCTAAATATTTACATATTATCTCACAATTATCATGGCTGGATGCCAACCTAAGATTATGCTAACAGCTGTATTGACTGAAAAGTTTTGATTTTGCTAACTGTCCTCCAGATACAGCAAAGCATTCAGGCTGAGCAAGCATGCACGGTGTGTTTCTTAAATTACAGGTTGACACTTGAGTGTTCTTTCAATGTGTTTGGGAGGAACTGAATTTTATTGATTGGTTCTAACTAATAGTTTTCCCTCTTTAATATTAGGAAAGACAATAGTACGTTTTGGAATCTTCTTCACATGTCACCTGTTCGTAATGCTACTGGCAAGGTACTTCTACATGGACAATTCAACCGATCTATTATAATCCTCTTTGATGTATGCATACACGATTATTACTAGTTGTGGTGAGCTTAACTATCAAAATGCCTACAATCAAGCTTGGTCCCAAATAGATCTTTCTTTCTCTAAAGAAGACTTACCATCACCTATTTCCCTTTTCTGCCTGTATCATATCCAAGCACTGATAAAAATTTATCAGGCATCAAGGGGTGAAAAGAATGCTCAAAATCTAGTAAAAGCAGGTCAAAACAAGCACTAAGCAAGCAACATAGACTGATGCATATATGGTATACCCAAGCCTGCTCTACTAGTTGATTGCATCTCCAGGCTCTTTGAGAATCATTATTGTTTTATTAGTGCTCGCAATACCTTAAAACTAGAGATACATATGGGGTTTACCTACAACTGGAATTTCACTACACTAAAGCCATGCTCTCTCGTATTTTTATGACTATCCAGGATCAAAGTTTCCATCTTTATGGTAATAGAGATGTGCTACTAGATGAAAACCTGTAAAGAGAAATGTAGTTAATAATCACGAACAATTTTCAAAAAGAATGTCAGCTTTGCCTTTGGGAACTTTTAGTTTTAGACCATGATTCTTGGTTGTATGGCTCAGTCTTGAACACGGTGAAAAATGGAAAGGAAAAAAGGCATCCAATGATAAATGAAGTTGGAGGAAAACAAAGGAAAAGATAGGCGCACGCAACTGCTTAAAAAATGATTGTTGGCGAATTGAGTTCATTCTAGATTTCAAGATGTCTAGATATGCTCTGGCCATGTTTTGGATCCACTTTATCGAGTTTTCATATATTTTTGTTTTGATATTCTAATTCATACTTAATCGAAAAATCTTGCATTCGAGCAGATGCCTACACCAAATTTGAATATTGAATGCTAAGCTCGTATGCAGTGTTTTCTAGGTGTAGTCCAAGGCTACAACCATGAGCTACTTGTACATGGTAGTTTCTTGTAAGCTGGAAGTGTTAGTGAAGGGTGCCTGAATTTGTAATTGATTAGCACACTATGAGGAATGTTTCTTGGAATGCAGATAATGGTCACTTACTCTTTGTTTTCTTCTTTATCATGAATGTCAGAGCCTGCATGATCTTAAGTCAATCTTCATTCTTGTTTCGCCAAGTGCTTTATTTTGGTTGTTGTCTCTACCATTTATCAGAATCCAAGCTTTGGAAGACAAAAATAAAAATAAAAACTCAAAACTCTTGCATGCAATCTTCTCTCACTGTGCTTATCAATGTTCAGATAGCATACTTTGTGGGTGTTCAGATGGAAGAAAAATGCAATAGCCAGGACAGACGTGGGCTGAGCCCTGAGACTAGGCAGCTTAGTGCTGTTGGTGCAGTCAAGGTAGCTGTAAGGAGTTTATCTATGGGTGCTAGCTGCTCCAAATCATCAGATCGTTTCAATACACTTTGAAGCAGATGATTACCAGATGACAGGACTCCCTCACCATGGTCCATCTTGTTAGCTGTATAATTTCGTATAAAGCTAGCTGCAAAGGTTGAAATTAGGAAAATAATTTGCTCCACGGATTGACGTTTTCGGACACGCAAATTGTTCATATATGAAAAATATCTTGAAGCAACCTGGGGACCTTTGCTCCAACTTCTCAATAAATTCCAAATGTATTGTTAGTAGCGTTTGCCAAGTTCTAAGGAACCTTTGAGGGCAAACAAAAGTGTCAATCAGCGTAATAGAGGCGGAAGTTCCCATGAGAGAGTTAATATTGAATACGGTTATCGTATAAAAATACTAATTTGAAATTATTACATAATGGTTTTTTTTTTTTGGTCAAGTAGTCTTCTAAATTATAAACAAAAACACTTTATTTTATAATTGTTTAAATCTAAACGAAATAAAAAAAATAAAAATCCCTAATAATCAGAATATGAATAATAAAACCAACATAAAAATATTTTTTAAAAATTAAATAAAAATAAAAATAACTAAAAAAACAAGTAAACTTCATCTACGAGTTGAAAAATTATTTTTACCTTGATTTGAGAAAAATTATTCTTACCTTGATTTGAGAAAATTATATATATATAAACATGAAGAACATCTAGAAAATTACAAAAAACTAGTGAAAAACTCAATTGAAAAGGATCAAAATATAAACTAGTGGAGACCCATTGAATTGAAAAATTGAATTTGAAAAGAAAAACTCAAAATTAAATGTTTAAAGATTTAATTAGAGTTTTTTAAGATTTAATTGAATTTACTGAAGGCTTAACTACAATGAACTTTATTTGATTATTTAAAATGATACAATAGCAAATTTCAAGTTTGCCCTGAAAAAAATCTCAATAATAATTAAGGATATATCTACCCATGTTTCTTGATACAAGAGTAATGGACATTTAAAATACCAAAATAAAAAGTGAAATTTTAATAATTACTGAATATCTTTGAATTTTTAAATTTTAGTTCCTCCGCAATACATGGGTTATGGATAAACTTACTTTCTTCTTATTTTTTTTAAATTAATATCTTTTAAACCAAATTCTTAATCTAACAAATTAAAATTTGTTTACTGTAGCAAAGCCACTATAGTAGCCCGAGAAAATTTTAAAATATCATAAGATTATAACAATGATAAATAAAGAAAAACGATATAATTTCTCTCATATAAAGTATACAATAAAGTATACCAGAAATATTATTTTTTTTTATACAACTAATTTATTCCCTGGAATATCTAAAAATTAATCATGATTTTTAATAATTATAATACTAAATAATAATTTTTTATTCAACTAAAAATTAATAAATAAAAATCGCTAATAATCAGAATATGAATGATAAAACCAACATATAAATATTTTTTAAAATTAAATAAAAATAAAAATAACTAAAGAAACAAGTAAATTTCACCTGCGAGTTGAAAATTTATTTTTATTTTGATTTGAGAAAATTATTTATACACACATGAAGAACATCTGGAAAATTACAAAAAACTAGTGAAGACTTCAATTGAAAAGGATTAAAATATGAACTAGTGGAGATCCATTGTATTGAAAAATTAAATTTGAAAAGAAAAACTCAATTTAAAAATTCAATTGGAGTTTTTTAAGGTTTAATTGAATTTACTGAAAACTTAACTACAATGAACTTTATCTAAAATATTATTTAAAATGATATAATAGCAAAAAAATTTAAATTTATCTTGAAAAAATTCTCAACAATAATTAAGAATATATTTATCCATGTTTCTTGATACAAGAGTAATGGACATTCAAAATACCAAACTAAAAGATGAAATTTTAATAATCACTAAATATCTTTGAATTTTTAAATTTTAGTTCCTTTGCAATACATAAGTTGTGAATGAGATCAAATTTTTAATCTAACAAACTAAGATTTGTTTATTGTAACAAAGCCACTAGACTGACAGAATTTTAAAACACCATTAGAGTATAATAATCATAAATAAAGAAAAACAATATAATTTTTTTAGATAAAGTATACTAGAAATGTTAATATTTTTTTTATACAACTAATTTATTCCCTGGAATATCTAAAGATTAATCATGATTTTTAATAATTACTAGATAATAATTTTTTATTCAACTAAAAATTATCCAAACCTGCCCAGAAAAGTTCATCGCGCTCTTGCAAAGGTACAAAACCTATGGAGGTTTTTCTCATTGATTGAGACTCTTGGGTCGGCGCCCAACCATTATATTTTTTTACTCAAAACTTTAACTCTCATGTTTTTATTGATTCATTAAATGCGAGACACTTAATAGCTTTATTTTCAATTTTTAAAAGTAAGAAATATTTGAAAAAAAATAAAATTTTATTTTTTAAAAATAGGAAACTATTAAAAAAATAACCTGGATTTTTGGTATAAATCATCCTCCAAATTAATTAAGGGGGTGACGCAGTTAACCGTGCTTTTAATTTTTTTATTTTATTTTTTATACTTTAAATTAATTATTTTAATGTTTTTAAATTGTTTTTATGCATTTATATAAAAAAATTAAAAATTAAAAATAATATTTTAATATATTTTTTAAAAAAAAGCTTTGAAAAATAATCTTTCCTAGTTCTTGGGTACCGCATAAAGCCTTCTGGGAACCAAAACAGAACAGCACATTGCCTTCCTTTATGTAGAATGACAATATGGAAACTTTCAGTGACATGTTCGTCACTGAAACTGATACAACATCTGCAACACTCTAGAATGAACAATGACAGAGAGGCACCCCAGAATGATGAAGACGGCCTAGAAAAGGTTCGTAATGTAGCATCTAGCCGAGATAATTGGTGAGTGTGATCTCCAACACCTTCATTACATTAAAGCTGTCATAAAGGAGACCTTGGGCTTAAAGTGATAAACCTCCATTTTTCGGGTGCAAAAATCCTTTAAAAACCACATCTTGAGCTCAGTTAAGAAAAAGTCTCAACCTCTCTTGAGCTTAGTTAATGAAAGAATTCAATCTCCTTTGAACTTAGTTCAAAGAAAGAGCTCAATTTGATGGGCAAAATTATATTTTGAATCTTCCAATCGCTACACCCTTACGTGCATATACCCTTACCTTACATGCACATGAAGATACTATATTTTTATTAATATTAATAATTTCAATTAATATTAATATTATATAAGAAATAGTGTGTAAAATTCTTTTAAAGACACATTATATTTCTATCAATATTAATATATATATCAGAAATTTTCTATCAATATTAATATGAGCAATATTAATCCTTCCTCTTCATAATATTTTTATAAATTATAAATAAATTATAAATCCTTCAACTATAAAAATTTGAAATCTTCATTTTCCACTTTATATTTATTTCTAGAGCATTTTTCAGTAATATTATTATATTTGTTTTTTAAAATTCATTTATTTGATCATTGAAGAATCCTCAAATTTACCAAAACAGATCTTTTAAAGGTATTTGATACCTACTTCCAACTACCCTAGTTAAAATGATTAAATTAGATTTATAGAACTAAAATATTAATTGATTATTTAAGATATAAGTTTTACCTCCAATCTATTTGGATTTTTTAGAACATCATCGAAAAAGAAAAAAAGGTTATTTAAACAAAAGAAAAAAAAATTAATAGGAAAAAAAACACAAATTCTTTCATAGAAGATATCATGATAAGTGGTGAGTTTCTAGGCTCTCGCTAATAATCATCCTCGTTGTATTCTTGTGTTCATATGTCCATAATCAAAGGTATTTTCATTAAAGACAGAGGAAAACACAAGAGTGTACCCAATTTGCGGAGATCAATCAATATCGAGATATTGCATATAAGAGCAGAAAAGCTAAACTGAATTTAGATGCTTCTACAGAAGGATATATAAATTCCAGTTTACCAACAGAAATCTTTGAACCCTCTTACCACTTTGTCTGTATTGCCCCATACTTTTCAAATTCAAAGAAGCAATTGTCTCTGCGATTGTCAAGAGTTTGGTTTCTTCACCTTTTGTCTTTAGCTCTGCCATTCAAAACAATCATACTTGTAAACCGTCGTAAAATTTTATATTTAAGACAACAAGTAGGAAGTAAGAGAACGGAGAGTGTTTTATTAATGAAAGTATCAAGCTAACATACGTTGGCCTTTTCTTTTGAAACTTCTTCTTCTTCAGTTGCAGTTGAGTTTAGTGCTGTGAGCTTCCCAAAAGATTCTTTTGCATCGCCAAAGAAGTCTTTCACTTTATCAAGCACTGTTTTTAGTTTGTCTTGAGTTGGAAGCTGAAGAGTGGATTCAAATGTGCCAGGATATGCAAAGATAAGTCCATTGATACACAAACAATCAAAACCCACAAACCATATGGATCGGGGCTGGAAAAGGATCCCAGAGAAGAATAATGCTAACCTCAATGACATCCGTTATGGAAAGAGCAGCTCTCAAGTTACCATTTTCCTTCATATTCAACAGAAAAATAGAAAACAATTAGGCAACAAAAAAGTTGAACTCTTCTTTATTGTTCTACAACAAAATAAAGATGTTGATGAAACCTTACAACGAGCTTGTAACCATATCTGAATTCAGTTGCTGACCGCAATACTCGATGCTGCTTAAATGCTGTTTTCTGTATCTCCTTCTCATCCTATTTGAATTACAGCTTAGCAGTCAGAAGCACATAGGAAGAACGATGGAGAGCAAAGAAAAACTAAAACTAAAATAAAATTAAGGCACCTCAGTCAGAACCACAAGGAAAATGTCAGCCATCATTCTGATTACAGAATGAATTCCAATTTAATTTTGTTTTCTCTGTTTTTTTTCCTTCCAAAACAACATTTTGGTGTGGTTGTGTCTCCCGAATCACCATTAAAACTGGTAAGAATAGTCTTAGGGAGGCAAGGCAAACCACCAAACACTAATGAGATTATGAAAAAAACATTAAACAATGCATAGTTTGTCGCAAAGAGGGCACTATAGCAAATCATAACGTAAAGAGTAAGAATTCCATAGAAGTTAGTGTTAGAAATGTTTGCAGATTCCAGCTAAACCCTAAAAAACAGCTCAATTGGAGAGGCAAAGAAGATCACGAAACAGTAATGAGTTGAGGATTTCCTCACAAATTAGAAACATCCAAACAGAGGAAAATAAGTTCTACTACTTGACAGGTAAACCCCATGTAAGGAACAAGAAGGCCAAGAATGAATTGTTCAGGAAATTTTTCCTCAAAACCCAGGAGATAAATCGTGTGATAAAAAATCAACAGAACTTACTTTGTAAATAACTGCAGCAAGATTTCGAGCAAGAGTATCTTTGTAGATGTACTTTCCCAGAAAATTATCTTTGGCAGCAACCATGATTTTGGCAGTGGTACCACCTGTTATAAGACTAAGCGGGTACCATAGATAAACCTGGAGACAAGAAAACAAGAACATAACCATAAAACATACATTTATACATTCTATTGTTGCGTTGAAATGTCAAGCATATAGCAAAAGTGTAAAATTGAAACAGCTATCATTATTATAATTACATAATTCAGGAAGAAAAAAGCCAAGAAAACTCATTGAAAAAGTATCGAAACGAAATGATGTAGGAAACTTCCAGTAACAGCAGTAATCCAGAGTTGGAATAAGGAGAGAGAAAGAAAGAGAACAAACATTGGCCGCGCGAATGAAGATAAGAAATTTGGGGTTGCCATCATCCTCAATCTTGGGCAAGGAAGGTGTTGGAGGTGGTCTTTGAAACTGACGTGTTTGAATTCCTTTCTTTCCTTTGGCTTTAACAACCAGTAACATGTGGCCTTGGCCTTGCTTCTTGGGAGATGTTTGCGCCGTCGACTTCCTAGTAGAGAAGAGAGAGTGCTTGACTAACCCTCCTCCATCTTCGTGCGGTGACATTGTTCTTGATGACGGAAGCCTAACCAGAGCGTTTAGAGACATGCCCACCTCCATTTTTCACTTCGCTTCTATTTTAGCACTCCTCTCTTCCCAAAATCAACAAGCAAAAAGCTTGCTCTTTTTTCAGTTCTGTAGAGGAAATCTTATCCACGGAAACATGAGCAGTGAGCACGCACCGCATCCCAGAGACACACACACACGGATGACGAAGAGCCAATGTCTGCCTTCCATGTGGCGGAGGTATGGCCTCTATTTAGCACCTGGTGGTCTAAAACGGTGCGTTCCATGACCTTATTATTATTTTGATCAACATTGATATTCAGCTTGCAAGCAATCACCTGGATTAATTTCACATATTTTTAAAGTTAAGATTATTAATTTTATAAATTTTTAAAATTAAAATTATATAAATTTTTAATAATCTTATAAAACTCTAACTAATAATTTTAAAAAATTAAAACTAGAGACTCGAACTAATAATTTTAAAAAATTAAAACTAGAATCTTATCGGTTAAACTATATATATAGTTTCATGTTATATTTTATCATGTTAGTTAAGTTTAAATTAAAAAAATATAATTTAATATAAATCTAGAATATAATTAGTTAAACTATATTTTAAGGTTATATTATTATTATTATTATATAGTTTCATGTTATAGTTTATCATGTTTAATCAGTTAAACTATAACTTCAAGGTTATATTATTATTATTATATAGTTTCATGTTAGTTAAGTTTAAATTAAAAAGTTATAATTTAATATAAATCTAGAACATAGTTAAACTATATCTTCAAAGTTATATTATTATTATAGTTTCATGTTATAGTTTATCATGTTACTTGAGTTTAAATTAAAAGGTTATAATTCAATACATTATGTTACGTGAAAAGCGCCAAGAAAAGAAACTTGGAAGCAGCCAGAGAACAATTGAAGTAAACTCTTAAGAATCTATTATTTAGTTTTTTTTTTTTAAAAAAAAAAAAACTACCGTGCTTGTGAAATATGGAGAAACTGTGGCTCTCCTTCATCCAGGACAACTGCAGATGCACATGCATAAATCAGCAGATTAAATGACCTACCAGTCAGGAGCTATTTTTCTGCAATAATAATTTATACATGATGATCTGTATGCAATGCTATGGAATGCATTTGCAGTGCTCGGCAGAAATTGTACAGCACAGACATGCTATCTTATATTGCTAATTAAACAACCAACGTGGATAACATATCATTACCAGCTTGGCACCAGCAAGGCGGCGATATGTGCATCTTCAGCACTGGATCAAGCTTACATAAAAGTAGGTGGACTTATAAGGGGAAATTCGGATCCAAACAGTGCGATTCAAGAATCAATCAAACTTGCATTATTGCTCAAACGTGTACACCATATATATTAACATTGGGCATAGAGTCGAACCAAAGCATGTTCCTCTTTCTTCATTCACTGACAGAAATGAAGGCATTATGGAGATTAAAAAAAAAAAACAAGAAAAGAAAATACACTCTTCCCTGACTATCCCAAAAGAACAGTCCTACAATGGCCACGCACTAGAGAGAACTGAGACGTGAAGTCACTGGCACGTAGAGGTTTCAGCATGCAGCAATAGAGGAAGGTTTGGTGGTGAGAACCGACAGCATCCAGACAATAGCAGGCAGAATATCATGGTAAAATAAGAATCTGCATTACCATTCACGCGGAGTAATGATAGCAGCAACTTTTAGACCTTGTCTATAGCAGTATACATTCAGAAAACATGTGTTAGATACAGGAGAGTGCCCGGCAGTTAAAAAAAACAATGGTACACACAACGAAAGAAATTGAGCGCGCAAAGGAGCAATGCTTAGAAATGTGATCTGTGATGAAATTTAACACCAGAAGGATGTGATCAGTGATGAAATAACACCAGAAGGAACAAGATGAACCTGAGTTTGATTTATGAAGCAGAACTGGCAGGAGCACAGAACAAGGTAACTCCAAAGACAGCAGAAAGGAAACAGCATATAGAGGCAATGCCGAAGTCCTATGAGCATCCTCAGAGACAGAGAAGGCCAACAAATCCAAGAAGACATGAGGTGTGGCAAGAAGCTGATATCAGAGTATCACTGCAATTCTACTGTTTACATGCAAGAGGCCTGAAACTGAGCTCACAAAGTAATGTTCCTTTAATATCCAATGAGTAAAATTTTCATCAAAATTCAAGTGAGTCCTGCACTCAGACAACCGCAGTATACTTTACAATAAGAGACAAAGACCGTTCCCCTAAATAGAGAACTTGACAAATGAAATAGAGCTAGAAGCGCTGGCTCTATTCCTCGGTGTACAACAGTGCTCATATCTCAAGGGGAAAAATAAGAAAAAGAAAAGGAAAAGAGGCACCAGAAATCATAAAGACAATGATCCTGCACCTACTGAACAACTCCTTCCCCTTCCTGCTCACTTTCTTCTTTTCTGCTCTATTCAATAAGAAAACTCATGGCCTCTGAGTGATATGTACTTCTTGACCCATATAGAGACATCCTCTGCACATGCCTGGGCCTGTGGTGTCTGGAGAAGCACATCAAGAGTAGCAAACTCATGTACAGCATCCTTATAATCAAGAAGAGGTGCATCCACATTAACTTTCCGTAGTTCCTCTGAGTAGGCAATGGCTCGATCTCTCATTAAGTCATGCTCAGCAACAACTGTTATAGTCGGGGGCATGCACTTAAGAGGTGGCTGCCTCCCGGCAACAAGAGGGTTAGCAGCTGGGTGATCTAGATTGAACTCTTCCTTTGGTAAGAAGAGTTTCCATGCCAGCTTGCACATGGTTTTATCATAGAAATATGTGCTTGCCAGCTTAATCTCAGAATGGGTGGGAGTTCTTCCAATAAAGAAAGGAAACATCAGGATTTGTGCCACCACCTTAACTGGATCCAATCGCTTCCCAGCCTCTACAGCCTTTCTTGCCACATAATCTGCTATGTTCGCACCAGAGCTCACCCCAAGCAATACACATCTGTTCTGGTACCAATACAAAGTCAGGGGAGGATGCTTCATTAAAACAGAAGGAAAAAGACAGCCATTGAAAAAATTTTGAGCGACCAAAATGATATTTGGTGATAATTAGTATCGTCTAGCCAGAGTGATTTTGCTGAACAAGCACAATAGTGAACAACTTATATTAGATATCAGGATGGATTCGTCTAGCAAACAACGATCAAGTAGCTTCTAGAAACTCTTCTTACAACAAGAATGATATGTTTAGCATGATCAAGAGTTTTTGATTCTTGGGAAAATTCTGCCAAAAACACCAAGGCCCCAAAGACACTCGGACAGTTCACATGTATTTCAGGTACAGAAGTAGTACAGTCACCAGATCCACATTCTACAATATTCTCCAGTATAAAAATAGATCTACATTGTATCATGGAGCTATGTACAATTGAGTGAAAGAAGATCTTTTGATGATGTTACAATAAGACCACTGTATCCTGTAAAACTTGCAAACCTCTTCAGCAATTTAACAATACCACATCCCTTATTCCAATGCAGAGCTGGCATACTCTCAAGCAACAAACCAATGCATAAACAATATAATTATTAAATGAATTCAAAACATACCCATTTGCACACGATGCTTAGCTTACAAGCAAACTCAATCTTTATAGAATTTTATGTTTTTGATAAAAAAGAAACAAAATGAGTACCTGGAAGTATCTCCATGAGCAGCCAACCAAGGCTCCACCATGGAAGCACCGAAGCTGTCAAAGATATGGTTCTGAGCACCCAATCTCCCACAAACAGCCAAATTAGACTGCTTCGCTAACCAATTCAAAACCTTGAACCCATCTTCGAAAGCCCCCGGATACTTGGTCTCTGGTGCCAATCTATACCCAACAGCCACCACAATCACATCACACAATTTCGCTATTCTCCTGCAAAACGCATCGTTTCCCACCGATTCATTGCTCCCGCTCACAACCCCCCCTCCGTGGAACTGCAACATCACCGGCAACTTCCGGTGAGATCTTCCTTCCACCGGCGAATAGCCACCGTAATTGGGAATTTGATAACTAGAAGCCAATGAGGAGGTGACAGCTGTATCGGGAAGGAAGATCCGGAGAGAAAGAGAAGAGTAGGGATTGGCACGGATGTCTTTGGTGGCTACACCATCGGTAAATGATGGGTTGCTAGCGGCGATGGATTCGTGGGGCCTAGAAGTAATGCCAAATGGGTTTGATTTGTTGGATTCTGGGGTTTCTATCAAGCCTTGTAGGAGATGCTTTTGTTGATATTTGAAGATGACACTATAGAGTTTTACCATTAAGCTTGGCATCTCTACAGAGAGCGAGAGAGAGGAACCGCCGGGATCTGGATTTGTTGTTGATGAATGAAGATGGTGGGAGAAGCGGGCTAATGAAGTTCCAGTCCTCCAGCTCTCCTTTGATTATCAACCAGGTCTTGCAAAGTGTTTTTTCTCATTTTTTCCAGTCCTTAAATCTTACTCAATTTATCTATTGAGTCCAATGCTAACCCTTTTTTCCTTTTTAAATTCTCTTCCATGTTAACCCCCATTGCTAATCCTGGAAAAACACAGTCAAGTTCTTGGGTTCTTTTTAAGGTTGTGCTGTTATGAATATTTTTACATTAACTATATATATATATATATATATATATATATATATATATCAAGTTTAGCAAATAATTAACATATAATTATACTTTTTTTTGTCAAGTGGGAAATATACGAGAAAATAAACATTATACTTTTAATTTTATTTATCAAATCAAAGTATTTTTTTTCTTTTTCCATGTAATATTTCACTTGTCCATATCATTCTCTTGTCAAAGAACTTAATTGGATCATGCTATGGAATTTCTTTCGATGAGGTTCACAATAAAATATATAAAAGAGATTTTATATAAGAGAAAATGAAAATCAAAGCCAAAAATCAACCTTGCCAAATATTGATTTCTCATGACTAAAAAGAAAAAAAAAAAAACTATAAGAGAAAGGAACAACCAACACTACCATTTTTCAACAATCCATCAACAATTCTTTTGTTTTTTTAAAAAATATCATTACAATCGGAGAATTTTCTGACTTCAAATCATCAAAATTTTGAAAAAAAATCTTGGCAGCCAAAGAAATCCATCATAGGAAATAAAACAAAAGAAAATATCAAAATTGAGTAAGCACGCTTGATAAACTAAAATGAAACCAAATGAAAATTTTGAAAAAAAATAATAATTACATCGAATATTCCGAGCTTCGGATCATCAAAAATTTGAAAAAAAACAAACATTCATAGCTGTATAAAAATTCCATCATATATAGGGATACAAAACAAAAAGAAAAAAAAAATTAAAAAAAAAATTAAATCTAAACTCTAATATATGATTGGACTAAGAGCTTGTTTGTCAATATAAATGTAGTTATGATTGCTAATTTTTTGTGTCAAAATATATATTAAAGATATTTTTTATTTTTTTAAAGTTATTTTTTATATCAGTACATTAAAATAATTTAAAAACATAAAAGATATATTAATTTAAAATAAATAAAAATAAAAAAATTATTTTTTTAAAAAAACTTTTAAAACAAATAAATAAACATGCTATTAGTTCAAAGTGTATAAACATAATCACTTTTTTCATTTTATACATTTCCTTGAAGAAAAAAATGTGTTGTTAAATTGGAGATAATACACTCTTTGTCCTTATTTGATCCGCCGACGGTTGTGGCTTTCTCTTTTATATTGCTTTGCTTGCTTAGTCTTCTTACGTTTTCTTTACACATCTTCAAATCATCACCATAAAAAAGTACGAGGAAGCATATAATTGTTGGTTCCTAGCTTGTCTTTTCCACTCCATGGAGGAGGGAATCAGACCACCTTGAATCTGTGAAAACCTTGAAGGTTATGTTACAAGGAGAATGAAGAATATCGAATACATAAACGCAAAAATACAAGAGAATAATTCAAAATTTATATATAAAAAAAATCATTACAGACTCGTGACTTAATTTTTTAAATATAATTTAGATTATTTTTTAATAAAAAATAATTTAAAATTTATTGAAAAAACAAATAATTACATCAAATATTCCGAGCTTCGAATTATCAAAAATTTGGAAAAAAAACATTCATAGCTGTATAAAAAATCCATCATATATAGGGTTACAACAAAAAAAAATTCAAAACAAAAATAAATTAAAAAAAAATCATATCTATAAATCCTAACATATGATTGGATTAAGAGCTTGTGTCAATGTAGTTATGATTGTTAATTTTTTATGTCAAAATATATATCAAAGATGGTTTTTATTTTCTAAAAATTATTTTTGATATAGTTACATTAAAATAATTTAAAAACATAAAAAATATATTAATTTAAAATAAATAAAAATAAAAAATTTAAATTTTTAAAAAATACTTTTAAAATACATAAATAAACATGTTATTAGTTGAAAGTGCATAAACATAATCACTTTTTTATTTTATACATTTCCTTGAAGAAAAAAATGTGTTGTTAAATTGGAGATAATACACTCTTTGTCCTTATTTGATCCGCCGACGGTTGTGGCTTTCTCTTTTATATTGCTTTGCTTGCTTAGTCTTCTTACGTTTTCTTTACACATCTTCAAATCATCACCATAAAAAAGTACGAGGAAGCATATAATTGTTGGTTCCTAGCTTGTCTTTTCCACTCCATGGAGGAGGGAATCAGACCACCTTGAATCTGTGAAAACCTTGAAGGTTACGTTACAAGGAGAATGAAGAATATGGAATACATAAACGCAAAAATACGAGAGAATAATTCAAAATTTATAAAAGAATCATTATAGTCTCGTAAATTAAATTTTTAAATATAATTTAAATTATTTTTTAATGAAAAAATAATTCAAAATTTATAAAAAAATTATTTTAATCTCATAATTTAAATTTTTAATTGAGATTTTAAGATATGATTTATATTATTTTTTAATATACTCATTAAATTAAAACCAACACTTTGAAATTGAAACTTGTACACACTCATACTATTTTATACTTAATTTTTACCAAATAAATAAAAATAATAAAACTCAAATTTGTGACTTGTCAATAAAAGCTTGTCATCCTAACCCTATTTTGTGTGTTAGCATCCTAAAAAAAGAGAGCATAATGCTGGCAGACGCATCGAAAATGGTTAACAAGCTGTTTCTAAAGAAGACATGCATGGTAGAAGCAAGCTCGTTAAAAAAGGCCGATGGAGTCTGTTTGGCTTTCTTCAAAGCCACAGGATAACTTGATTTGCTCTATGATTTCAACAAGGGTTAAATTATTGGCAGAAGCAACGCCAGTCAAGTCACATACGCAGTTGCAGCAGTTACTGTGTATGTGGCTTAGGCAAGACTCTTATACAAAGCTATAAAATGCACTGTATACTGCTCGAGAAAACTCTGTAGTATAAACTAACATGTATCCTTGATTTAGATCGCGCCGGCAAGGAGAATATATATATATATATATATCAAAACAAGCAGTACTAAATTCAAATACAAAACTTTGAATTCATCCAACCCTTAAAAAGTCATCTCAATCTATTATTCTCTAATATATTTTTTAAAATAAAAAAATTTAAAATTTAAAATTACTTTACATAAATTTATATAAATTTATATTTAATTTTTATCAAATAAATAAAGATGATAAACTCAAACTCGTGACCGTTTGATCATCAAGATTTTGATACCATATCAAATAATCATCTCATTCCAATAACTTAAACTTTTACGTGAAATGTAAAGATATAATTTGTATTTTTCTCTAACAAAAATATATTATATGATTTTATTTAATAATTTAATTTTTTATATTAAAATGATTTTCTTGATACTCGATTGGCTAGAGCCATATATAAATGTATTATTATGAAGTAATGTAAAAGTACATTTTGATGTCAATAAAAGCTTGTCATCCTAACCCTATTTTGTGTGTTAGCATCCTAAAAAAAGAGAGCATAATGCTGGCAGACGCATCGAAAATGGTTAACAAGCTGTTTCTAAAGAAGACATGCATGGTAGAAGCAAGCTCGTTAAAAAAGGCCGATGGAGTCTGTTTGGCTTTCTTCAAAGCCACAGGATAACTTGATTTGCTCTATGATTTCAACAAGGGTTAAATTATTGGCAGAAGCAACGCCAGTCAAGTCACATACGCAGTTGCAGCAGTTACTGTGTATGTGGCTTAGGCAAGACTCTTATACAAAGCTATAAAATGCACTGTATACTGCTCGAGAAAACTCTGTAGTATAAACTAACATGTATCCTTGATTTAGATCGCGCCGGCAAGGAGAATATATATATCAAAACAAGCAGTACTAAATTCAAATACAAAACTTTGAATTCATCCAACCCTTAAAAAGTCATCTCAATCTATTATTCTCTAATATATTTTTTAAAATAAAAAAAAAAATTAAAATTACTTTACACGAGAATATATATATCAAAACAAGCAGTACTAAATTCAAATACAAAACTTTGAATTCATCCAACCCTTAAAAAGTCATCTCAATCTATTATTCTCTAATATATTTTTTAAAATAAAAAAATTTAAAATTTAAAATTACTTTACATAAATTTATATAAATTTATATTTAATTTTTATCAAATAAATAAGAATTATAAGATTTAAATTTGTGATTATTTGATTATTAAAACTTTAATATTATATCAAAAAATTATTTTAATCTAAAAAATTAAATTGTTAGATAAAGTTCTAAAATATAAGTTATATTATTTTCTAATATAAAATGCATTAAGGTGAAAATGTATAGCATCCAATTCAATCCAACATGCACAATATTATGAATATATCCAAAATGGGAAACATAACAAAAGAATGTTCTCAAATCTTGAAAAACCCTACTATCAGACAAACACTAGATCATGATTTTCAAGAGAAGAAGATCAAAACCTTCTTCCTAAGTCCTCAGTAATCAACAAATTAAGATAATTAATAAGCTGGAAACTATGGTCCCCCGAATAGAAAATGATGCACATCGTCAAAAGAAAAAAGAAATAAGAAGAAACAAGGGAAAGAAGGGGGGAGAAAAGCTGTTACTTGAATGTATTAAGCTGCCCTTTCCTCTCCTAACGCCTCCAATATTATTTTTCTTCCTTTTGGCTTGTATATATGGTTTAATTAATACGAAAATCAACTCATGACCTCCAAGGGATATGTACTTCTTGATCCATATATATATATACATCCTCTCTGCACAGATATACCGGGGCCTGAGATGTCTGGAGAAGCATGCCAAGTGTCGCGAAACCATGCACAGCATCGATCCTTGTAATCTAGAAGAGGTGCGTTCCGCAGTTTCTTCAAGTAAGCAATACCCAGGTCTCTCATAAAATCATCCAGAACTGTTAGTGTGGGTGGCCTTTACTTAAGAGGTGTCTAACTCCCAGAATTTAAAGGGTTGGCAGCTGGGTGATCTAGCTTGAGTTGTTCCTCCG